ATGATACATTCACTTTCACCGATGGAATCAAAATTTTAAACATAATGATCCAAATTAACCATAAAAAAATTGAGGTATCTGCAATTTATCGTCCGCCATGTTCAGAACCCCACGAGTTTTTGAAGAATATCGAATTTTTTTTTCAAAATCAAAATAAAGTTCATTTAAAGCAACATATTTTCTTGGGAGATGTCAATATAAATATTTTGGACAATGATCCCATCACAAATGAATACTTGAATATCCTATCAAGTAACGGATTTCTGTCCTATATAAACCTACCTACAAGGTCCATCAGTGGCACATGTATAGATCACTGCTTTGTGAAAGACCTATCCAACAAAATTACTTGTATACCAATAATCCTAGAAAGCGATATTACTGACCACTTCTCCACTATTTTACTGATATCTTCAAATGAAAAACATTCTAACATCCCTACCGTTAATAACAACCAGGAAAATTACAATTTTTTTGTCGACAATTCAAAACTAATATCAAATGTCAAACAAGAATCCTGGGAACAATTATACTCTATAAATAATATAGACAATGCAACGGGACTGTTCATAGAGAAAATAAAAAAACTAATAGATATTAGTACCAATAAAGTAATAATTAGTCACAAAGAGAAAAGCAGAAATGCCTGGATTACCAAAGGATTAATAACATGGGCAATAGAAAAAGAAAGACTATATAATGTAATGAAACTAACGCCAACTACAGAGAATACCGACTGTTACAACAAATATAAAAATAAATTTATAGAGCTTGCAAGGCAAACCAAACGAAAACATTACCTAAATAAATTGAATAATAACTTAAATGATCCTAAGCGGCTTTGGACAACTATTGATGAGAATACTAGGAAAACAAAATTTAAAGAGTGTGTCACTGAGTTAAATACAACATCGGGAACAGTATTAAAAAATACTCAACAGATATGCGATGAATTTGTACAATTCTTTACTGACATAGGCGAAAATTTAGCAAGTAATATACAAGCAAATGTACAAAATACTCAGCCTCCAAAAAGAACTTTCAACTCATTTATTTTGGATAAAGTCGAACAATGTGAAGTATACACCACTGTTATGTCCTTAAAAAATCGGAAAAGTCCTGGGTTCGATGGTATTAAAAGCGAGCATTTGAAAATTATAGCCGAGGACATAACAGAACCACTCACTTACCTAATCAACAAATGCTTTGAATCTGGCATATATCCCTCAATTTTAAAAAAAAGTAATATAATACCGATACATAAATCAGGAACAAAAACAGATGTTAACAACTATAGACCAATATTAATAATATCCAGTGTAGCAAAGGTTTTTGAAAAAGTTTTATCTACTAGAATGATTCGATACCTCACAAAATTCAAAATTTTAAGTGAAAATCAATATGGATTTACAGAAGGGAAGGCTACATCGGACGCAATAACTAAAATTGTAAATCAAATATATCAAAATATTGATAACAGAATCCCTTCAATCTGCATTTTTGTTGATTTAAAGAAAGCTTTCGACACAGTTAATCACAAATTATTATTAGAAGCATTGGAGAGAATTGGTTTCAGAGATCACTGATCGAAAGTTATTTGTCAAATCGCCCACAATCTGTGCACATATCAGGATCATTTAGTAAAGAAATGTATATTAAGTGTGGTGTCCCACAAGGAACTGTCTTAGGTCCGCTGTTATTCAATATATATTTAAATGATATTTTCCAAATTAATTGTGTTGGCAAAATAACTAGTTTTGCAGATGATAGTGCAATATTATATGAAGGCACTGACTGGTCTGATCTGAAAAATGTAATTGAAAATGATTTTATCAAAATTATTCAGTGGTTTAACAGTAGAAAATTAAGCATTAACTACTCTAAAACACATTTTTTACCATTTGGATCTTATGCTAGACATCTGCCAAATTACACAAATTTCTCCTTCAATATTAATGATCAAAAAATGCAAATTAATAGAGTGCCCAACATAAAATACCTTGGAGTGGTCTTGGATCCTCACTTACGATGGGACATCCATGTCAATTATATTTTAAAGAAAGTTAGATTTGTATCCTACAAAATTAAATACCCTGGGAATATATTGACAGAAAAATATCTTCAAACATTATACCATGCACTGATTGAGCCTTATCTCACATATGGTATATTAGCATGGGGAGCTGCATGTTCCTCACATATCTATAATTTAGATGTTTTTCAAAAAAGTATTCTAAAAATGATATTTAAAAAACCGAAACTTTATCCCACTGAAAAAATATGTGCAGATGTTCGAATGTATGATATAAGACAGCTTTATTTCTTACACAGTATCACTCACTACCATAAATTTGTAAACACCGACCAAAAAATTAAACATAATCATTATACCAGATACAAAATTCGTGGCACAGTAGCTCCTCAACTGCATAAATCTATAATGCAGCGATCATATCTCTATTTAGCGCCTAAATTTTATGAAATTATACCTAAAGACTTAAAAGATTTACGTTTCGGAAATTGTTTCAAAAGAAATTTAAAAAAGTGGCTACATTCTATATCTAGGACTGAAATTCATAAACTCATAAATACGAACATCAACTAAATACTAAATACTACTGTAGCTAATTTTTGTCCTTTTTTGTCATTTGCATTCTACAGTGTCAACTTAAATTATTGGTCCATGTACAGGCGATGCCTTCTATTGGGCCTGTTTTGATTTCATATTTATTTACTCATATTGTTTGTTATCTTTGTACATTGAGTGAATAAATATTATTATTATTATTATTATTATAATATTAAGTAATATTTCCATGTATGTTTATCTCATTGCAACAAAATCTATAACACTTGAACGTTTTGTTTCATTTCTTCGATAATGAAAGGGTAATAAACTGTAAGCTAAATGTGTGAGGATTAATGAATTAAAAAAGTTTTAGTTTGTCATCACTTGTTAATGTATATTCATAATATGACTTTAAAAACTTAAATTTGTAGCTGGTAATATTCCCAAATGTTTACACACTTTAAGAGAATAAACTTCAATAATTTTCTGGTTAGTGTTCGTCACCTGGTTGACATGCTTTGTAAGTTTGTATGTCATCTGCGTACAAATGCACATTCCAATCACATGATAAACATTTTATGAAATTTGAAGTATAAAAACTAAATAGGTGAACAGGGTCTAAATTTCTTCCTTGACAAGTAAGTACTAAATCACAGTAAGGCATTTCCAGTCAAACCAAACCAAGATGCATTATTGACATTCGCGACTGCTTTTCCCCATAATCATGGTACTTCCCCTGTACTCGGTGATTGGTTGATGATATTGGTTAGTTGATATTTACAAAAAGATAAGACGTTACTCAACATACTTGTGATGATACCACTTGACTTCACTTTCATCAATTTCTAATGTCACGTGATGAAATGAAGATTTGCATATTATAGATTTTTTCCGTCCTGAAAATGTGCTACGAAATAACTCATCTGGCAGATCAGTTGACAGGCATGTGGAGTTAGAGTGTTGATACTGCCTACTCGCCAGGTTTCGCCTATCACTACTACTACATGCCTTGCTCTAAGTACAGGGTGGTCCATAAGTCCTTTGAAATTTCAAATTTGAATAAAATTTAACGGGTGAGCGTGAGCGGCGCGGGCGAGGTGGGGGCAGTATCTTCAGTGTCTGGGAATTCAGTCGCCATGGATTGTTTCACTTGAGCGGATCGTGCTTTTTGTGTGCGCGCGTTTTATCAAAATAATGATTCGGCAACCATTGCGCGGCGTAAATATCGAGAATACCACAATTTACACAATTTTACAAAGTGTCCAACAGCTCAAACGATTAAGAACTGGGTTGCTAAGTTCGAAGAGACTGGTTCGACGTTAGATAAACAGCGGTGGGGTCGACCAAGGACAACTCGTATTGAAGAAAACATCAACATTGTGGCACAGTCTGTTCGTCAAAATCCTACCCAGTCTACTCGTAAGCGTTCCAGTGCACTAAACGTACCCAGAACATCTTTACAGCGGATTTTAAGGAAAGATTTACGTCTGCACGCTTACAAAATTCAGTTAGTGCAGGAATTAAATGATAATCACGCTATTCAGAGACTAAACTTTGCGAATGAAATGTTGAATCGATTTTCTTCGCTCAATAATGTGTTGTTCTCGGACGAGGCTCACTTCCATTTAAACGGGCATGTAAATAAACAAAATTGCCGTTATTGGAGCCCCGAAAATCCAAGGCGTAAGCATCAGAAGCCCTTACACAGCCCTAAAGTTACAGTTTTGGCTGCTATGTCAGCGCATGGCATCGTAGGCCCTTATTTTTTTGAGGACGACAGAGGTCGCGCATTAACTGTTACTTCGGAGCGGTATGTAGCAATGATAGAAGAGTTTTTGACACCAGCGTTGCAGAATTTTCCAGGCTATAATACGCAGACCTGGTTTCAACAGGACGGAGCAACTGCCCACACCTCCAACACTTCTATGTCCGTCGTCTGTCAACTTTTTCCCAGCAAAGTAATTTCTCGAAGAGGAGACATTTCCTGGCCACCACGTAGTCCAGATTTGACCCCAATGGACTTCTTTTTATGGGGCTACCTCAAGAGTAAAGTGTACGACACCACTCCGCGATCAGTTGATGTCCTGAAAGAAAATATCCGAAGAGAAATGGCAAGCATTACAATGTTGACTTGCCGCGCAGTCATCGACAATTTTAGACGTCGTTTATATGAGTGCCGTGATCGTAATGGATTGCATTTAGACGATGTGATTTTTAAAACATAATTCCCATTCAATAAAGATGATAACAAAATATACTAATTCTTCATAATGTAACTAGTTTGGTTTTATTCCTTTTTTTCCAGCTCAAAGGACTTATGGGCCACCCTGTATTTTATGCATACAATGACCCTATTATCTATTGATACTACTCGATCCTCTTAAGTGTCGTCTCACGGTTTTTGCCTCACAGATTATGTATTCACAAAACCGCAAGATCAAGATCGATGTATCGATAAACGAAAAGTACCTGATGAATTTTCATACATGAAGCAACGTATATACGCCGGTGCTTTACAGGTACGCGCGTTAGTTGCACTTCGTGCTATGGCTCGATAGATTGACGCGGACGCGACTACTCCATGTTAACGGAAAAAAAAGTAGGAAAAGTCAAGGGCATTTCTATGCCTTAATCAGCAATTATTAGTGCAAAGATATCGTGTCTGTTTGTATTTGCAACTTACCGAAAACATCGCATGTCGTGCACACAATTTTATGTTTAGAACCCTTTTTGATTCGGTTTGTGATTTTGGCGGTTTGTTGCCGAGATATATCCAGGCTGGAGAATACTTTGGGAATGATAGGTAAACATTTTTCTAAGCTTGACATATTTTCACATAGATAATTAAGTCATTTGCACTTCCTAGGAAGATTTATAGCTATTTCACCTTCAACACGTGCATTGTAGCTCATATTATTCATAAATCAAATATTTCAAAAAACAAATAGGTAGAATGATTTTTTTCCGAAGAGCTAAAGAGACATTCTGAATGTATCTAGTCCCGTTTATCATGTACCCGTATATTATATTATTCTATTATAGAGTGTCGGGGGGGCGGATCTTTGGTAAGAATCTACGCACCTGAGTCAGGGCATTTCTGGACTGAATGGATTCGGTTTCAGTAGCGTAAAAAACGTATTGTCAGTATTTTTGACCCGTTTCTAACGTAACAGACTACACTAAAAATTAAAAATACAGGATCTCACACATTTTACGCCACAGGCGAAGAAGTATTGTAATCGTGAAAATGTTTGAGAATGAAATATGCCTTTTGGATTTTATATGACATCTAGATCGCCGTGGGTCTGTCTGTCTGTTTGTCTGCCTATTTGTCTGTCTATTTGTCTGTCTGTCTGTTTGTCTGTCTCTTTGTCTGTCCGTTTGTCTGTCCGATTATCTGTCCGTCTGTTTGTCCGTCTGTTTGTCTGTCTGTTTGTCCGTCTGTTTGTCTGTCTGTTTGTCTGTGTGTTTATCTGTCTGTTTGTCTGTCTGTTTGTCTGTTCGTTTGGCTGTACGTCTGTTTGTCCGTCTGTTTGTCTGTCTGTTTGTCTGTCTGTTTGTCTGTCTGTTTGTCTGTCTGTTTGTCTGTCTGTTTGTCTGTCTGTTTGTCTGTCTGTTTGTCTGTCTGTTTGTCGTCTATCTGTTTGTCTGTCTGTCTGTTCGCTAATTTTGGCCCGCACATAACTTGCGAAGTCACGCTCAACACAAGGTCACTACTATGCCAAGGACGAAAAATGGTTGCAGTTTTTGAAAATCGAATCAGAGGCAGCGGAGAAAGACTGAAAACGAAAAATAAAACAAAAATCTCTAAAACTTCGTTTTTTGACGTTTCAGAGGATACGAATTGTTTATCAAAAAAATTGCAGAGGTTAAAAATTCGATGTTGGGGTTGTAGGGGTTGGGAGAGAATAGAAGTCAATTTTTTGATGCTAGCAAATTATACGTTTCCAACCCCGATAATTCTACTCATTGCTAGACATATTTCATAGATCATACAGCGTGTTTCAAATTCGACCTTCACCATTGGGATCTCTGAAACTGTAAGAGATACGAAGTTGATTAGATGGGAGCAAAGTTGCGTGTTTAGGTAATCAATAAAATGCCGCTTAGAAAGTTTCTATATTCAGAGTACATCCGGAAAAAGACGGAAAAAAACAGAATTTGCCCAAAGTCGTTTTAATTTTTTCCTGACTTTGTAGTAGGATTTCAAAATAACTAGCACATCAACATTGCCACTTATTTCCTCTACAAGACGGCATAATTAGAACTACCATATGACTGTTCGTCTCTTGTCGTCCTCCAGCATCAACTTTATTTTTTCTCATAGATTTTTGCGTTTTTAATTCTGATTCAAAACATGTATAATACGTCATACGTTGGCCTTATTTATTTAAGAAAAAGCAGAATTTCCTGGATAGGATTATCAGATAGATAGTCGTTTTTTTAACATATCAGATTTACCCCAAAATCGCATTTATTTTTCCCGACTCTATTTGAGATGGAATTTCAACATAATTTGAATGTTGTGATTGTTAGCTCTTCCGTTAGACTATGCGGCACCCAGAGTGAACAAAGTTTCCTTATATGTAAATGGTCTCGTAGAATTGAATGAAGGTTTAAGATCTCCTCTAACAGTTGGTATGTCACTCTCCGGTCTTCGTCAAGCATTTTCCTCACAGCAGTAATGTTTTCCTCTGTTACTCACGTTCGCGGCCTTCCTTTCCTCTCAGCGTCCTCCAGAGTGAAATTGCCCCTTTGGAATTCCCTGTATCACCTGAATATAGCCGTGTGATGAGGATAATCATTCTTTAATGCCATCCCATAGACCGCACTTTACACTGTCAACACGAATGAACAACTAAATCAACAAGCGTGCTGCTGACTGCTATTCACTCATGGACACGTCTCAACATGCAGTAACATTCAGCCTACTGTCATCTTGCAAAACTTTTCTTATACTCTTTGTATTATTGATGGTACTAACAATGATAAGCATAAATAAGCAGAGGTAAATCATAGCAGAAGAAAACGTCCGTTATTTTCCAAGCAAAGACTGACTCTCCCGGTACATTGTTCACTGCTTGATTTGTGTCTCTTCTTCTCAGTTCTCCAAACTCTGTTGCTATGGTTAATCTGAAGTCGGGTCTGGTAAACGAATTTCTTTTGAAATCCACCTAACGTCAGAAAAGAATATAATCGATATTGAGAAAATTCCTTTTTTTCAGTCTCCCTCGGCATTTTCTCAATTACGTAAATACGCAACTTTGAACTCATTTAAGCGACTTCGTATCACTTACAATTTCCGAGATCATCATATTAAGCGTCGAATCTCAAACACCCTGTATATTTCTCCATATATATGCCCTTAAATCTTAATGTTAATGATGATGCTAAGTGCAGGCCAGCCTACTTTTCGCGATTTTTTTGTGGATTCGCATTTATTCTCTATTACAACTAGTATTAGATCTTCTGTAGGTACCTGAACATAAGTCAAAAGTGAAGCTTCTTGACATCACGTACTGACATCGTTCCTGTTTACATCAAGCCTTATATTGTGTTACGACAAATTTCATACCGATAAGAGATGTAATCGCTCTTTATCAGTTCAAATGATTTGAATATAAAAACGTACTTGAGCGCTATTGTGTTAAAAGCGATAGACTCATAGTTTGGTGTATGCAATGTAGCTGGTACCTGTTCAGTTTGCGGCGGTACTGTCCAACCATACGTTTTCCGTTTTCCGCATTTTTTAATCGCGAACATAAAGCACCTCATAGATGAAATCAGTGTATTAGCATTGAATGATATTAGTGAATACAGGTATGAAACTTTTTACTTTATATTTGAAAATATCGTAATTAGGTACTACCTCAGACTTCATGATGCTTATTTTGTAATTTCCACAAGGAATAAAAAAATCTAATTTCAGGTATGTGGTTCTGTAGTATAGAATCAAAGTGATTGCTTATAAAAAATGCTATGAAAAATTCAAGCTTATGTCAGCAATTCAGCATACATCTTCTGACTTTTCACAGATTCATCGATAATATTAATACCAAATTTCATAATTTCTATTTTTTCAAAACCATTTCAAGTCAATTTATCAAAGCCAAAACGAAAAATGTATGGTATACGTTTTTCCAAAGTAGTCCTGTCAATACTTACGTTTTTCCGCAAGATCGATCGCAAACATAAAGGCCTTTATAGATGAGTGACGAAGCAATGACTGACGTTAGTGAATTGGCATGCGACTTGTTGTTTTATGTTCCAAAATAGTGCAATGAATTGGTGAAATTTTTGGTTCCAAGAGATATGGCAAATGCAAAATTCAACTTATCTCAACCACTGTTTCAAGCCGGTGGCGAAGGTATATAACAAAAAGATTTTGGTTAGATGCGTTTTTGAAAATTCGAGGCCTGCTAGCCATTTTATACTACAATAGGTTGGCTCTTGTTGTGGACTTCGTGTGTCGCTTTTTTTCCTCTCCATCTTCGTTTCCTCAGGTTACACCCGTAGCCGGATGTGTGTATCTACTTTTGTAGTTGCACATGTGCATTCATTTCGGGCCTGATGAAGCCAACCAGCAGAAATACGTATCGCTCGGGTTACCTATCCTATTCTCTGCTCGAATCCACTTTCCTCCTTTTTGCGGATTTTGCCCATTATTTTCCTGCTTTTTGTTATATACCTTTCTCAACATGATCATTTTCTCTTTATATTTATATATATATATACAGGGTGTCCGCAAATTTGGGGTTTTCCTTTAGTCGACGTGTAGATCTTGAAAACATAAGCAATTTTTCTTAGTACCATATACCCCAATGTCTTAAGGGAACCGAGATAAAGGGCTCTGCAACATCAAAAATATCTGAATACCGTCCTGTAGCCGCGACCCGAGACATCACCGATTGGTACAAGGTCTCAACCCGACGGCAGAACTGGGTCGGGGTCAGTGTGTCAGGTCAGTATGCAACCTTCAACCGACGGTTACGGTCACGCATGTAGAGGTAATCGCGTAGACGAGAATCCCTCAACAAGCACTAGAGACGTGGCTAGAGAAGTGCAAGTATCAAAAACTAAAGTGTGGCAAACGCTGCGTGAAGAGGGGCTGTTTCCGTTTCACGTCCAACGTGTACAAGCCCTTCAACCTGACGATTTTCCAGCAAGAGTGCGGTTTTGTGAGTGGTTGTTGCATCAACATGACAATAATCCGGACTTTTTGAAGTGCATATTGGTTACAGACGAATCTACGTACACGCGTAATGGGGTGAATAACTTTCGCAACACTCATGTTTGGTCATTACGCAACATTTTGCATTCCTTGTTTGCCTGCGTCTGCTCGGTAGCGCATCAGCTGATTTCATTTTCTGTTGGAGCGGTATGATTTCGGGCAGAGGCGTACTTAGCCCTTCTCGTCAACTGGAGAGTGAGTACTTTTTCCTTTATTTTTTTTACTTGGTCGCCCTCGTTTCACTACACATTACCTTTGTTATTTCAAGGGTAGTTGTTTCTGAAAAGGAAAACCCCAACTTTGCGGACACCCTGTATGTATATATATATATATATATATATATATATGATATCTTATTAAAATGGCGATGACTTTGTTGACAAGGAATTGTCGAAATATCTTTAGAGGAAAATTATAATTGTCGCATTCAAGTGTGATGGAATACCTCATGTTTGTCCTCATACCTGTATACAAAAAGCACTTTAGATTCAAAATCAAGAAAAAAAACATCTATATTGAAATAAGAACATGTTTGTAGTGCAGCATTATTATTTTTGAGAAATATTTGATAT